CCCAGGCTGAGCCTCCTCCTGGTGATCCTGGGAGTCATCTTCATGAATGGCAACCGTGTCAGCGAGGGTGAGTTGTCGGGCCCGCCGCTGGGGGGCTGCCCCCTGTCTCGCCTCCGTGTTCTAAACTCTTGTACCTCATCTGCCCCGGCAGCTGTCCTGTGGGAGGCACTCCGCAAGATGGGACTGCGCCCTGGGTATGATTGGACCCCCTGGGCTCTCGCTGCCCCTCAGCTTGTCCTTGGGCCCAGCAAGCCCCAGGGTCCCACCGGCCCGATGGTCTGGTGCAGGGGAGTGGGCGCCCTCGACCAGGCCGAGCCCACGGGGCCTCTCACCAGGGTGCATGGCGAAATGGTCCTGAACTCTGGGCCCCCTCTGCTCCGTGGCCCCTCTCTGTCCCCCAGAGGGCAGCTAAGACAAAGCACCAGAACCCGGGGCTCCTTCAAAACCCTGTGCAGGCCATCGCTGCCAGACGAGTGGCCGTCAGACCCCTGCATGCCCAGGCCTCACGGGCCGGGAAGCGCTCGGTCCTGGTGGCGAGTGCTCCTGCCCACAGCGGGCACTGCCGCCCGCTCGAGTCATGGACTCTCTCCTTGCCCTCAGGGTGAGGCACCCATTCCTTGGCGATCTGAAGAAGCTCATTACATCCGACTTTGTGAGGCAGAAGTAAGTACCGACCACGTTCCCTGTCTCACCCTGGCGCCCTCCTGGGGTGCGAGTCTGGCTGAGGAAGCCACTGCGTGTCCTGGCTATCCACTCCAGGGATGGAGGCTCTGGGGCGCGAGGGGGTGGGGAGAGTGGCGGGGTGTGCTCAGAGCAGGGTGCCTGAAGAAATGGCTCTCTGTTTACAACACACCCAACAGGAACTGGGCTCACTGTGACAAGGGGCACCAAACGTGTGGCCTTCCTGTGCACAAGCACCCGACATGTGTCCCCTGCCCCGCACACACACCTCCCGGTGCTCGCCGGGAAGGAGCCACACACAGCCCGGGCTGTGAAGGCCTCGGTGTTGGGGGCAGAAACCCTGGCAGTGAGCTCGCGGTGGGGGCAGTGGGGTGCCAGCTGGAGGGCCAGGGCAGTCAGGGACTCTGAGCTGCAGCCTCGGGGCTGGGAAGGGGCCGCCTGGCAGCCATTGGTGCAGCAGCCCACCTGCCTGCTGGCTGGAGGCGAAAGGTGACTCTTGCCTTGTCCCCTGAGGTACCTGGAGTACAAGAAGGTCCCCAATAGCAGCCCACCCGAGTATGAGTTCCTCTGGGGCCTGCGGGCCCGCTTCGAGACCAGCAAGATGCGGGTGCTGCGATTCATCGCCCAGGTAACGGACCGAGGGAGAGCCCCTGCTGGGGGCCAGGCCCGGGGGCCGGCCCTTCCCACACCTGCTGTGGCTCTGGGTCAGGGGGTCCTTGTGCCCTCTGTGTGTGCACTGAGGGCACCGAGGCTCAGGAAGGCTCCTAGGCGCCTCGCCCAGGTTTGCAGAGGCAGTACGGGCCAGGGGTGGGGCCGGGTCCCAGGGCTGGTCCAGAAAGGGGCAGCCCGCCTCCCGTGGTCTTCGTGGTCACTGTGATGGCCAGCGGCGCACAGGGGCGTGCCTGGGGCGGGGAGCAGGCGCTCAGTGCGCGCGGGTTGGGGATCGCGGTCAGGATGGCTGCTCTTTCCCCCCACTGCAGTACCAGAACCGAGACCCCCGCGACTGGAAGGCTCACTTCCTGGAGGCTGTGGACGACGCCTTCAGGACCATGGATTCGGATATGGCCGAGGAGCACGCCAGGGCCCAGATGAGGGCCCGCATGAATATCGGGGACGAGGCTCTGATTGGCCGCTGGAGCTGGGACGACGTGCAGGTGGAGCTCCTGACCTGGGATGAGGACGGAGACTTTGGCGACGCCTGGGCCAGGATCCCCTTTGCCTTCTGGGCCCGATACCACCAGTACATCCTGAATAGCAACCGTGCCAACAGAACCACTTGGCGAGCTGGCGTCAGCAGCGGCAACCTGGGTGCGGCCAACGCCAGCCTCATCGATGGCCCTAGCACCAGCTCCACCATCCGCACCAGAAATGCCGCCAGGACCGCTGCCAACTTCTTCTCCTGGATCCAGTGAGCTTTGGGGAGGAGGGAGGAGACCCCGAAGGGTGGGCCGAGGCGGGGCCGTGGGGAGTCAGCGGGAGGCCTGGCGTGGGCGGGGGGCACCGCGGGAGTGCGCACAGAGCCTTGTTTGGCCTCCACGGGTCTCGGTCCTGGTCCCTGTTTCACCTGCTCTCCTGCCTCTCTTGTCTCTTCTTGTCCTGTGTTCGCAGGCCGCGCTGAGGACCCACAGCAACCACCCAGCCAGAGTGCCTCCTCAGACCCCGTGTTCACTCCTCAGACCCCGTGTTCACTGAGCACTCTAGGCCGCCTCTGCCTGCCCATCGAAGATGGCATGCAAAATAAGCTCCTTCGCCCTCCTGCTTTCACTGTGTGCTGTTGTCGTGCTGTCGTGTTTTTGGTATTGGTGTCGCAATAAAGATGCAAAGTGAAATGGCTGCTTTCCTGTGCGCATGCTGCTGCGGTGGCCCACGCCCCGCTCTCTGGACGGGGAAGGGGCGGGGGCGGGCTCCCCTCTGCCCAAGAGGCCAGCAGGGCGTGGGAGATGCGGAGTCTGCGAGTGCAGAGACCATGAGTTCCCAGGGCTTTGGTCCACACAGTCTTGGGATCATGTCCACGGTGCAGCGCCAGTTAGACGCCAAGGGGGAGAGCAGGGGAAGGGATGGGGTGGAGGCTATGGGTGGGTGCCACTGTTTCTGCCCCGAGGGGCAGGGCACACACTCACCCGGCAGGACTCGCCTCCTGGTTCCCACCTTTGGAGGGCCCACCTCCCGGTCCCCACCTCTGGAGGTGCCAGCTCAGAGCCCTTTCCTCATCACCCACCGAGTTCAGGACCTCATTCCTTAGACACACCTTTCGGGACAACAATGCCATAGGCTTCAAGATGATAACCTCCTGGCCAGCAGGCAGCAGGAGGGCCACTGCTGCTGAGGGAGCTTTACTGAAAACAGCTGCCAGCTGCCAGGGACCTGGAGACATTGCCTGTGGCCCTCACCTGAGGCTTCTGTGGGCCCTGGAGCCCCTCCTTGGGAGCAGGGCTGGCGGCCAAGGCCAGGCCTAGGTCCCGGTCAACCCAGGGACCTGGGTCCCAGGCCGGGGTGGTTCCCATGGGAGGGTGGCAGGCGGTTCTGCAGTCCCTCCAGCGGACCACAGTGAGGGCAGAGACACAGAGGGTCCCTGCAAAGGCCTCAGGAGTGGGCAGGGACAGACGGGGCTCCCTCAGGTGCACACATGGGCAGGAACAGGACCCCAGGTTAAGGGGAGGGAGGGACTAGTGAAGGGGCCCCTGTCCCCATTGCCTCTTTTCCATGAGCAGAGGGTTTCTGCCAGGGCTGACCTAGACCCCACTACAGCATTTCGGGTTGGCGGGGGCAGTGGAAATGCCAACAGGAGTCCCCTTGCTTAAATGTCATTGAGTTTCCAAGAGAGCATTGGATTTCACGGGGAGCCCTTCCGAGCGCAGGGTCCTATAGCACTGCAGACTCCCCCCGACTCAGGAAACTGGCTCTGTCCGCACCCTCCCCGAAAGGCAGACTACAGGGAGGTTTCTGTCTTGGTGCTCACTGCTGCCATTCCTGCCCCCCTGGCTGCTGGTCCCTGCTTGGCCAAACTGACCCTCTGTGATTCTGTGCGAATAGGAGTCCCCTTCCCTTTAGGTTTCCAGGGGCAGGACTGAGGTTTGAGGGTGGGGGTGCAGGGTGCCTGGGGGTCCCAGCCCTGCTGTGATGAAGGATACCTGACATTTCTGCACCCTCGGCCCGGGAAACTCCCCAGGCCCTGTTGTGCACACAGTAGGCTCATGCCTTGGCAGGGATGAATGTGGGGCTCATGACAGCCATGGGTGTGAGCTTGAGCACTGTGTGCAGAGGGCACTTGAGATAAGGCAGCTCATCTGGAGAGGAGGAGAAAGCAGCCATCAGAGGCAGGGTGCTGGGTGGGGGGTGTCCCCAGGCCTGCAGGTTGACAGCTCCCCTGTCCACAGCCCTTCCGCACAGTCACCCTCCCCTGAGGCCCCATCCCCCACAGCCTGCAGGGTGACCATCGAGGAGGAGAGCAGAGGGGAGGCAGGCGGGCCCTGGGGAATGCAGCCAGACTGTGGGTCTCCTGGAATGGTCAGGATGGCCTCCAAACCCGCCCCACTTCCTACCCCACCCCCAATCCCGGTTCCTCCACAGGCACCCTGACCACAGAGGCCCACAGTGCATCTCCCAAAGGGGTTCCTGAGACCCTACTGCACACCAGACCCTGTGATGAGGTGTGTGGGTACCTGGGAAGCCTGCACAGCTTTCCCCCGACCCAGACCTGCGCCCTCTGACTCCTCTCACTCTTTGATGGACAAGCATTATTCCCTAGTTTCCAGTTATTGACCATGATGCATAAAGTTCTCTCAATATCCACGTACAACTTCGTCTATGGGCCTAGGAAAGGGGATGATCAGGCCCATTGCACGGATGACAAACACGAGAGATTCTCAGGGCAATGATTAGATGATCCACGTTACAACCTCCTGCATCCATGGGAAAGGGCAAGATGGCAGCAGCTTGTTCACCAAGCTGGGAATGAGCTTAGGGGTTGAACTTTAAGGTCAATTTCTCACGTAAATCCCTGTACTGGGTTTGGATTCCCTGCAGTTCCCAAGGCCATAGATCTGCTGGCTCATCCCCTGCAGAGAGTAAGTCTCTCCTCAAACCCCGGAGGGTTTGGGGAAAGTAATTGGCCCGCTCCTGGGAGGTGAGAGGTGTCCCGGATGTCTCAATGTTGTTCCACTCTACTTTAGAGCCATCGTGCGACTTCCCCCTAGCGTGCAGGTGCGCATGCCACTGCCAGTCTCGCAGACAGCCTGGAAGTGGGGAGGGGGCAGGTTAAAGACGTTTACTCTGGGAGGATCCTCACTGCTGGGTTATGGTTAAGCGCTCTTGGCTCAGCTGAGTCATTTGTCTGCCCTCCATTTCTAGTATTTTATCAACGTGGTCTCCTCAACCATCCTTTTGGTCCCTGTGGGGTGAGGCCTCCAGCACAAAGGATCTAGCCAGGGGTGAGGGAGGAGGAAGAGGGGGAAGGAAACAGAATGAGAAAGATCGCGTGATAGTTGTCTTAGCACAATACTCTCCAGGTCCCTCATGCTGTCTCAAAGGGTAAGCGCTCCTGTGTGTGTGTGTGTGTGTGTGTGTGTGTGTGTGTGTGTGTGTGTGTGTTACAGCTGCATAGTATTCCTCGCTGTCAATACACCACAGCTATGTTATCCACTCATCCACTGACAGGCACGTGGGCTGTTTCCAGATCTTGGCTATTGTACATTGTGCTGGTGTGAATGTAGGGGTGCTTGTATTCTTTCTGATGGGTGTTTCTGTCCTCTTAGGATATATTCCTAGAAGTGGCATCGCTGGGTCAAATGGCAGTTCCATGTTTAAATTTTTTTTTGTTGAGAAAACTCCATACTGTTTTCCATAATGGCTGCAGCAGTCTGCATTCCCACCAGCAGTGTATGGCTTCCCTATTCTCCACAACCTGGCCACCACTGCTTGATTTGTTGACAAAAGCCACTCTGACATGTGTGAGGTGATGGCGCATTGCTCTTTGAATTTGCATCTCTCTGCTGATCAGTGAGTTTGAGCATTTTTTCAGATGTCTCCTGGCCATCTATAGGTCTATTCTAGAGAAGTGTCCATTTAGGTCCTTTGCCCATTTTAATCGGAATGTTTATCTTCCTTTTGTTGCATTGTGTGAATTCCTTACATATTTTGGAATTTAAGCCTTGATCGGGTGTACCGTTGGCAAACATGTTCTCTCATACATTTTGTTGATGTTTCCTTTTGCTGTGCAGTAGCTTTTCATTTTGTGGTAGCTCCATTTGTTTCTCTTCTCCTTAGATTCCCTTGCCCTAGGAGATGTATTGGCAAACACATTGCTGTGAGAGATGTCTAAGATTTTGTTGCCTGGGGTTTTTTTCTTAGTTTTTTTTTTGTTTTGTTTGTTTGTCTGTTTGTTTGTTTTTGTTGTTTTTTATTGATTTTTTTACAGAGAGGAAGAGATAGGGATAGAGAGTTAGAAACATCGATGAGAGAGAATCATCGATCAGCTGCCTCTTGCACATCCCCTATTGGAGATGTGCCTGCAACCAAGGTACATGCCCTTGACTGGAATCGAACCTGGGACCTTTCAGCCCGCAGGTCGATGCTCTATCCACTGAGCCAAACCGGCTTCGGCTGTTTGTTTTGTTTTTTGTTTCAGGACTTACATTCAAGTCTCCCTTCCATTTTGAGTTTATTGCTGTTTATCGTCTATGTTGGTGGTCTAGTTTCATTTTTTTGCATGTATATGTCCCACTTCCCCATCACTCATATGTGGAATCTAACAAAGTCAACTGATGGGGGAAAAAAAAAAACAGATCCAGAGACATAGAATCATGAACCAACTGAGGAATTGCAGAGGGAAGGGGGGCATGAGCAGTGGGTGGGTGGATGGGGAGAGGTGAACTGGGGAACTGATATGCATATAGGCATAGCCCATGGACACAGACAATATTGTGATAAAGCCTGGGTGGTGCTGGTGCTGGGTCAATGGGCGAACATAGGGGGGCTTCTGTAACACTTCCAATGATAGAGATAAATGCTGGGAAAGGGAATGAGGAAGACAGTGGATAAAGGCCATGAAAATGGTGCCCCTGAGAGACTCGGCAGTCCCTGTCAGGAGCAGACGACTCCTCACCCCATTGTGGTCTACTTGTCAGTCAGAAGCCAAGGCGTGGGCGCCCACTGGGAATCCATGCCCTCACCTTGGTCAGTGGAGGACAGGACACCTTGGGTGAGAGTCGCAGCTGAGAACAATGGCAGAGGCTGGTTGCTTTCCATGGAGAAGGGAAGGCAGTTCCCTACAGAGGGGACAAAAGCATGTTGGATGGCAGAAAACCGAATGCCAATGACATCCCCTTCAGCGAGCTCAGGATGGAAATTAGTTCCCTCATTGTTCACACTCATGGCTCCTCGTCATTTAATTTCACATCACTTATCGCAATTTGCAATGACAGAGTGGTGTCTGAAATTAATTTTATGATTGCACGGACCGACGAGGCTGCATGTTCAATATGCATGGCTCATCCTAGGACAATCATAATCGAATGAATTAATTCTCAGCCACTCCATCAATAAACAGGCTAGGGGCTGGGAGGGGAATGAGAGGAAGAACAAAGTGGGAAGGAAAAGAGAACAGAACGATGGAGGGTC